GGGGGATGACTCTGATGTAAGGGAGGACTCTGATGTAAGAGAGGACTCTGGGAACTCTGATGTAAGGGGGGACTCTGGGGACTCTGAAGTAGGGGGAGGACTCTGATGTAAGGGAGGACTCTGATGTAAGAGAGGACTCTGGGAACTCTGATGTAAGGGGGGACTCTGATGTAAGGGAGAACCCCAGATAGCAAGCAATTGAGCTGCAAGTTTGAAAATGACTTGCTAAACTATTGCAGACTTGCCAAGCTTCACAATTTTGTTGCACAATTACAGCAAGTCTGCATTGCAAGTCTCCAGACCAGCGAGCTTGCAGAGCTCTTGCTAAGACCTGCAGGACTCTTGCTGTAGACTTGCCAAGCAAATTTGCTACAAATTCAAAAAGTGTCAACTAGAACTTGCCAGGAATATGTGCAGCAATTAACAAGAATTACAATTTCACCCCGCCACAAGTTTGTAGCACGTTATCCTTGCTATCTGGGACTAGGGGGACTCTGATGTAAGGGGGTCTCTGATGTCAGGGAAGACTCTGGGGGCTCTAATGTATGGGAGGACTCGGGGGACTCTGAAGTAAGCAGGGCTCTGTGGACTCAGGCGTAAAGGGGACTCTGATGTAAGAGGGACACTGGGGATTCTGGTTTAAGGGGGACTCTGATGTAAGAGGGACACTGGGGATTCTGGTTTAAGGGGGACTCTGATGTAAGAGGGACACTGGGGATTCTGGTTTAAGGGGGACTCTGATGTAAGAGGGACACTGGGCACTCTGGTGTAAAGGGGAATCTGATGTAAGTGGGGACTCTGATGTAAGCGGGACTTTAATGTAAAGGGGGGACTCTGATGTAAGGGGGGCTTTAATGTAAAGGGAGTCTCTGATGTATAGGGAAACTCTGATGTAAGGGGGACTCTGGGCACTCTGATGTAATGCGCATTGCAGTGCGCTGAAAAAAAAAAGGAAAGCATGCTCTAATTTTTTTCAGCACAACGCAAGATGTGAAAAAAATTTCAAGTAAATGGACCTCCATTGAATTTGGTTTTTAGGTCTGATTTTATGGAGAATGTACCCTGAACCCCCATTCACACCTGTGCGTTCCGTAAATGTGTACCAAAGCATGCTTTTTCATGCACATTTGGTGCACATTCAAAGAAACGTACCTAAACACATGATGCACTTGAGTTGCCATTAATTTCTAAACGTGGCCAGGAAGACGCACGTTTTTACTCCATGTTTGTGCACATTAAAATGCTGCTACATGAGCTTCTTTGCCGCATTTGTTGACGTGCAGGCCCCATTGAACTCAATGGGGATGCGCACCGAAAGCGCATATACGTGAGCAAAAGTGCATTCACAGCACACGCAGGTGTGAATGCAAGGACATAATGGGAAGAAGAAGAGGAACATTAATGAGAAGAAGAGGGACATTAATGAGAAGAAGGAGAGTGACATTAATGAGAAGGAGAGGGACTATGAGAAAAAGAAGAGGGACAATAATGAGACGAAGAGGGACATTTATGAGAAGGAGAAAAAGGACATTAATGAAAAGAAGGAGAGTGAGATTATTGAGAAGGAGAAGAGGGACAATAATGAGAAGGAGAAGGACAGCAATGAGAAGGAGAGGGACTGAGAAGATGAAGAGGGACTATGATAAGATTATTGAGAAGGAGAAGAGGGACAATAATGATAAGAAGGAGAGGGACATTAATGAGAAGGAGAGGTACTATGAGAAAAAGAAGAGGGACATTAATGAGAAGAAGAGGGACATTTATGAGAAGGAGAAAAGGGACATTAATGAAAAGAAGGAGAGGACATTAATGAGAAGGAGATGAATGAGAAGGAGAGGGACATTAATGAGGAGAAGAAGAAGAGGGACAATAATGAGAAGAATGAGAGGGACAGTAATGAGGAGAGGAACTGAGAAGAAGAAGAGGGACTATGAGAAGAAAAAGAGGGAGATTATTGAGAAGGAGAGGGACTATGAGAAGAAAAAGGGGGAGATTATTGAGAAGGAGAGGGACTATGAGAAGAAGAAGAGGGACATTAATGAGAAGAAGAAGAGGGACAGTAATGAGAAGGAGAGGGAGATTATTGAGAAGGAGAGGGAGATTATTGAGAAGGAGAGGGAGATTAATGAGAAGAAGGAGAGGGACAGCAATGAGAAGGAGAGGGACTAAGCAGACGAAGAGGGACCATGAGAAGAAGATGGACATTTATGAGAAGGAGAAAAGGGACATTAATGAAAAGAAGGAGTGGGACATTAATGAGAAGGAGAGGGAGATTATTGAGAAGGAGAGGGAGATTAATGAGAAGAAGAAGAGGGACAATAATGAGAAGAAGGAGAAGGACAGCAATGAGAAGTAGAGGGACTGAGAAGACGAAGAGGGACTATGATAAGAAAAATAGAACATCAATGAGAAGAAAGAGAGGGACATTTATGAGAAGGAGGGGGACATTAATGAGACGGAGAGGGACATTAATAAGAAGGAGAGGGATTATGAGAAGAAGAAGACATTAATGAGAAGAAGAGGTACTATGAGAAAAAGAAGAGGGACATTAATGAGAAGAAGAGGGACATTCATGAGAAGGAGAGGGACATTCATGAGAAGGAGAAAAAGGACATTAATGAAAAGAAGGGGAGGGACAGTAATGAGAAGGAGAGGGACTATGAGAAGAAAAAGAGGGAGATTAATGAGGAGAGGGACATTAATGAAAAGAAGAGGGACATTTATGAGAAGGAGAAAAGGGACATTAAAGGAGAACTATGAGATGAGTGATTTCCACTCACCTCATAGTTCTAGCCGACCTGTGACAATGAGACTGTCACAGGTCGGCTCAGTAGATCGGGAGGTGAGCGAACACATACCAGGTTCGCTCACCTCTCGATCCTGTCACGGCTCTCTGCCGTGACGGGAGGGGCTGGATTCCCCCCTCCCCGCTCCGATCCGCCAGATAGGCAGAGCCAGCTGTCACTCACGCAGCTGGGCGGATCCCGTCATCTATGTCGTGATCCGCTCCGGCTGTGGCGTCTCAGTATACCACGAGCTGTAGCTCGCGGTATACTGAGCTTAGGGTAACGGGAGGACGCTCGTTTGTGTCCTCCCGTTACCCTAAGGAGAACTATGGGGAAAAACACTGACCCCATAGTTCTCCTTTAATGAAAAGAAGGAGCGGGACATTAATGAGAAGAAAGAGAGGGACATTTATGAGAAGGAGGGGGACATTAATGAGAAGGAGAGGGACATTAATGAGAAGGAGAGGTACTATGAGAAGAAGAAGAGGGACATTAATGAGAAGGAGAGGTACTATGAGAAGAAGAAGAGGGACATTAATGAGAAGGAGAGGTACTATGAGAAAAAGAAGAGGGACATTAATGAGAAGAAGAGGGACATTCATGAGAAGGAGAAAAGGGACATTAATGAAAAGAAGGGGAGGGAAAGTAATGAGAAGGAGAGGGACTGAGAAGAAGAAGAGGGACTATGAGAAGAAAAAGAGGGAGATTAATGAGGAGAGGGACTATGAGAAGAAGAAGAAGAGGGAGATTAATGAGGAGAGGGACATTAATGAGAAGAAGAAGAGGGACATTAATGAGAAAGAGAGGGAGATTAATGAGAAGGAGAGGGACATTAATGAGAAGAAGGAGAGGGACAATAATGAGAAGGAGAGGGAAATTATTGAGAAGAAGAAGAGGGACAATAATGAGAAGAATGAGAGGGACAGGAATGAGGAGAGGGACTGAGAAGACGAAGAGGGACTATGAGAAGGAGAGGGACATTAATGAGAAGGAGAGGGACTATGATAAGAAAAAGAGGGAGATAATGAGAAGGAGAGGGACTATGAGAAGAAGAAGAAGAGGGACATTAATGAGAAGAAGAAGAGGGACATTAATGAGAAGGAGAGGGATATTATTGAGAAGGAGAGGGATATTATTGAGAAGGAGAGGGAGATGAATGAGAAGAAGGAGAGGGAGATGAATGAGAAGAAGAAGAGGGACAATAATGAGAAGAAGGAGAGGGACAGCAATGAGAAGGATAGGGACTGAGAAGACAAAGAGGGACTATGAGAAGAAGAAGAGGGACATTAATGAGAAGGAGATTAATGAGAAGGAGAGAGAGTATGAGAAGAAGAAGAGGAACATTAATGAGAATGAGAGAGAGATTATTGAGAAGGAGAGGGACATTAATGAGAAGGAGAGGTACTAAGAGAAAAAGAAGAGGGACATTAATGAGAAGGAGAAAGGGGACATTAATGAGAAGGAGAGGAACATTAATGAGAAGGAGAGGGACTATGAGAAAAAGAAGAGGGACAATAATGAGAAGAAGAGGGACATTTATGAGAAGGTGAGGGAGATTGATGAGAAGGAGAGGGACATTATTGAGAAGAAGAAGAGTGACAATAATGAGAAGAAGGAGAGGGAAAGTAATGAGAAGGAGAGGGACTGAGAAGAAGAAGAGGGACTATGAGAATAAAAAGAGGGACATTAATGAGAAGGAGAGGTACTATGAGAAGAAGAAGAGGGACATTAATGAGAAGGCAAGAGACATTTATGAGAAGAAGGAGAGGGACATTATTGAGAAGGAGAGTGAGCTTAATGAGGAGGAGAGGGACATTACTGAGAAGAAGAGAGACATTTATGAGAAGAAGAAGAGGGACAATAATGAGAAGAAGAAGAGGGACAATAATGAGAAGAAGGAGAGGGACTATGAGAAGAAGAAGAGGGACAATAATGAGAAGGAGAGGGACAATAATGAGGAGAGGGACAGTAATGAGAAGGAGAGAGAAGAAGAAGAAGAAGAAGAAGAAGAGGAAGAAGAGGAAGAAGAGGAAGAAGAGGAAGAAGAAGATGATGATGATGATTAATGAGAAGGAGAGGTACTATGAGAAAAAGAAGAGGGACATTTGTGCAGGAATACTGAGTGATTTGGCTGCTCTGGTCATTTGGGATCTCGGCTGCTGCTAGCTGGGTGCAGTTCCCTGAGTTGGCCGACAGGGAGCGCTCTGTCCCGGCCCAGCCCCTGACACCGGAAGCCGCGGCGCACAGAGCTCAGCACGCAGCTACTCGGGGCAAGCCTGAGAGCCGGGCCCTGGGGCCACACACATCGGACACAGGCCCGGGCCGGGTGAGTGGTCTTCTCTATCAGAGGGATGCGGCATTGTTTATCACAGCCGAGGTCAGCTCTACCCCCTTCCCCTGCGTACAGAGCCGTACAAGACAGCTGCTTGTATTGCTCTTGTCTGCAGAATCCTCTATTATGCCCGGGCATTTGTTAGGTGGGGGCTGCAGGATCTACAGACCGTGCCCTCAGCTACAGGACCGTGCCCTCAGCTACAGGACCGTGCCCTCAGCTACAGGACCGTGTCCTCAGCTACAGGACCGTGCCCTCACCTCCCGGACCGTGCCCTCACCTCCCGGACTGTGCCCTCACCTACCGTACCGTGCCTTCACCTCCCGGACTGTGCCCTCAACTACAGCACTGTGCCCTCAGCTACAGCACTGTGCCCTCACCTACCGTACCGTGCCCTCACCTACCGTACCGTGCCCTCACGTACCGTGCCCTCAGCTACAGGACTGTGCCCTCACCTCCCGGACTGTGCCCTCACCTACCGTACCGTGCCCTCACCTACCGTACCGTGCCCTCACGTACCGTGCCCTCAGCTACAGGACTGTGCCCTCACCTCCCGGACTGTGCCCTCAGCGACTGGACCATGCCCTCACCTACCGTACTGTGCCCTCAGCGAGCGGACCGTGGCCTCACCTACAGGACCGTGCCCTCAGCCACAGGACCGTGCCCTCAGCGACCGTACCGTGCCCTCATCGACCGTACCGTGCCCTCATCGACCGTACCGTGCCCTCATCGACCGTACCGTGCCCTCAGCGACAGGACCGTGCCCTTACCTACCGGACTGTGCCCCCAGCTACAAGACCGTGCCCTCAGCGACCGAACCGTGGCCTCAGCGACCGGACCGTGCCCTTACCTACAGGACTGTGCCATCACAGACAGGACAGTGCTCTCACCTACCGGACTGTGCCCCCAGCTACAACGCTGTCCCCTAATGCCCTCACCTACAGACCGTCCATGTGATCAGTTTAGTAAACTTTTGGTTGATTTCTATGCTGGCGATTCGATTGGCTGTGAGGAAGTTTTATGGAATGTGTCTGATGGAAGGAATATCTGCGTCTGTGTCACCCAATACTGAGACACATCGATTATATGATCGGTTTCAATAGATCATTTTCTGATGGTCACTTCGGTTGATTTATAGGATATTGCAACAATGAATATTTAATTTGACGATGAATCGCCTGTTTGTGATCGCCCGCAGCTCGATCTCTTATAGTACAATGTGGTACGGTGATAAACGATCGGCCCATCGATCTGAATGACCATCAGTTCTCCCGAGCAGGAGCCATCAACCAAATCTCACCTTGTCATGGGGAGAGCTTTACAAATTGATCAATGGACAAATTGTAGTGGTATTGATTGATTGTATGATCATATTATTGATACATGTGTGGCCACCCTAACGCATATGCCAAACATGTATGGATTACGCGGCGTGCGCGCCTGCCTGGATACTGTATTGATTGTAGCGTAGGATGAACATTGGTAGCACCTATACATAATGTATGTGTCTTCTGTATCACAGTTCCAGCCATATGTTACATTACTATTTCCCTACCCGATAGGGGCCACGGGGCCCATATATGAAATTGGTGCTTGACACAGAATATCTCGTTGTTGACCTGCTTCCAGCTGTTATTTCCTCAGAGCCGGGATGAAGATAGAAAAGGGATTCTTAAAGGAGAACTATGGGGTTAAGTCTTTTCCCCATAGTTCTCCTTAGGGTAACGGAGGACTGTGCAGGCTTACCTGAGCAGTCTTCCAGCAACTTGCTTCTGAGATCGGACCTGTCTATCGGCAGCTGTTATCCCCCCACACCTGCTCCTCCTTACTACATCTCCCCGCGTCCCTGTGCCAATCGTGGATGTGGGCGGATAGTGTGAGGCGGGAAGGAGGTGCGGCGTGTAGAGCGTGGATGCGGGCGGGTCTGGCAGCGGTGAACGTGAGTTGGGGAGGAGGTGCGGCGCGTGTTTGTGGACCCGTGAACAGGGCCAAATGATCGGAAGCCGATTAATCGATTATTGAAAAAGTTGACAACTTTTTCAATAATCGATTATAATCGATTATGTCGATTAGTTGTTGCAGCCCTAGTTGCCACAGCCAAAAAAGAAAAGTTTCTTCGATAATGAATATTAAGGCTGGCCGTACACCTATCAATTTTTTTTAATTTAACTCGCGGGCTGAATCAAAAAAATTGCCGCGATTCCTCCATCAATACAAAGAGCGTGCCGATCGAGGAATCCCGCTGTTTACATTGGGGGGAATTTATCAAAACTGGAGCAGACAAAATCTGGAGCAGATTTGCACTGCAACCAATCAGCTTCTCTGTCTCATTTTCAAATCTTACCTGAGCAAACTGAAGAAAGATGCTGATTGGTTGCCACCGGCAACTGCTCCAGATTCTGACTGTTCCAGTTTTGATAAATTCCCCCCATTGTATTCTGACAGGTGCTGCCGGAAACCTGTCAGGATACCCCATCAGAGTGGGCAGCTCATTGGCTGCCGGCTCTGATCGTAGGAAGATTTTCCAGCCGTCTCCTTTGATCAGCTGACCGAGGAATGCCTGCTGAAAGGGAGCCGACAGCCCCACACACGATTTTGGGCCGGTACATTAAAAACTGCCCGAAATTCGGCCAGTGTATGGGAACCTTTTAGAAGGAAAGGAATCCTTTGACAGGATCTGTGAATGAATAAGCTACAGCTACACGTTCCATCAGCTACCGCAGCAGAGGGACTTGTTGTTCTCAATGCAATACAAGTGCGCTGACATCATTATACTTCTAGTCCATTCAGTCTCCCTCCCGCCCATGTACTGAATGCCCATACCGAGGCACAAACATGGACAGGAGGAAGAGTCTGCAGGAGCCAGAACATTGCACCCGCCATCCACCGAAGGCTCCAATGCAAAAAATAAATACACATTTGTTTCTTCTATGAAGAATTCTGCATTTATTTTTTTTAAAGGTGGAATTTCTCTTATGGCCCCATTCACACTGAGCGACACTTACCTCGAGCGGATTTCCGCGCGGCCGGGATAGCGCACCTGTTCGGGCGACCTTCATCGTCGGGCTGCATGCAAAAATAGAAAAATAGCGCGACATTCGCGGGAAAAAGGGTCCTGCACGAGCGACAGGCGACATGGTGCTGTAGAATAGAACGGCTCCATTGAAAATCATTGGTCGAGCGACTTCCGCGATATCGCGCGGCAAATATGGGCGATATTGTGGCAGAAATCGCCCGATTTAAACGCTCAGTGTGAATGGGCACTTAGGGCCCATTCACACCGGATCTGTGAATCTGATGTGAATGGGGCGATTTTACATTCATACCGGAACGGTTGCGTAGCGATCTATTGCGATATGTTTTTCAACGGATGCTAACAGAAGGGCTCCGATGAAAGGAATGGGTGTGAATGGGGCTGGTTTACACTGCGGCGCTCAGTTCCGTTGAACAGAAAAAAAAAGTAGAACACTTGTTTTCAGTGCATGGGATCCGTGTGAAACAGCTCCGTTCATTTTTTGGTGCCCTTCCATTAACGGATCGGAAGGTGCAATTGCAAGTCACTGGAGCCTCTGTTGACTTCCGATTTTGGTGTGAATGGGCCCGTAAAGAAGTTTTTTCTGCGCTTTTTTTCAGATGTTTTCGGGCTTGAGTGCTATTTTTTTGGCCAATAGGAGATTAGGACACGGTTGATAGGCGAGAAAACGCTTTTTCCCAAAATAAGCTCAGGTACTTTATCCAGCGACTTGGTGCGAATGGGCACCAATGAATGTAATACAATTCTTGAGCTTTGATGTGCTAAAGGAAACGCGTGACGAAAACGCTCAGATGTGAACGGGGGCTACAAGCCATTTTGTTCTAAATTTGTGTCCTGTGATGTCTGGGGAGCACTTAGCAGATATTCCAAAAGCTTTGTCCGGGTCCCAATTTTGATGACTGTATACCCCAAACTCCTGTGTTCTGGAAATGATAGATGACGGGCGTTTTTGCTGTTTAAAGTGGATCGGAAGCCATTTTTTCCTTTTGGATAACAAAGGGAAGGGTTAGAACTCCTGTTAAGATATTATTGCTGATTACGTCCCATTTAGGGCCAATTCGCACCAGCCACTGCACTAAATGCACAGCGGCTGGTGTGCGTTGCCTGACAGTGCCAATCACAGCACATTGCACTTTTCTCTTTTTTTTTTGGTAGAACTTTATTGAAATGTACCTTGTGACATTTCAGTCAGTTCTACAGGCACAGCGGGGTGCAAGGCGGTTTTTCTGCATCACATCCCGCTATGCTAAAAAAAAAAAAAAAGCATGCTGTCCGTATTACCATTGCAACGTGGTGGTGTGAATCGGCCCCTTAGGCCTCATTCACCCTACGCCACAGTACGCTCACCCGAACTGCAGGTCCGTGCAGCTGTCCCTACTCGGACGCAGAAAGGTATCCATCCTGTCTGCATACGAGTACAGACACCCGCACAGACGTGCAATTCGGGTGAGCGTACGGCCGCGTACTCCCATAGAGAAGAACAGGCTGCTGCGTACAAATCACACGCAGCACCTGTCCTTCCCGGGAGCGGCCCCATGCGGCGTGCACGGCCGTATCGATCTGTACGGGCCGGCTCTTACCAGTGTGAATGAGGCCTTAGGGAGAATCACTTTGTCTGTCTGTCCTGTAGACCTGGACTGAAGGTGAGAGAAAAGCCAAAATGTTGAGTTGTTGTTCGAGCAGGAATAGAGGGTAAATCTTTTAATGGGACACTCGTCCCAGTAAGGCCCCATTCACACCATAGCTTTGTGGTGACGTTCGTTTGGCACGTGCCCCCGTTGGTTTCAATGGGTTCTTGGGCGTGCGCCAAACGCGGAAAGGTAGTGCATGTTTTCTCCCCACACATTCGTGCACATTTTCATGCGTTGAATCGCGCAATTTGTGTGAATAGGGACTTGCAGTGACAAAGTGTATCGTTATTGTTTGTTAAACATGCACAAACCCGCTCGCATTTTCATAA